TTTTCCATTCCATGAAAACCAAACTCCGTCATCAAGTCATCTCTGACTCACTGCGACCCTACAAGACAGGGTAGGGTTTCCGAGATTCTAACTCTTCCAGGGAGTAGAAAACCTGATCTTGCTCCTGCAGAGCACAACGGACAATACTTTAACCCACTAGCAGAAACACTGTTGGCTGAGCGAGAGCGGCATTTAGACTGAAGCACCATCCCTTTGTGTCCCAGGTGAGAAGCTCTGAGTGACTCACTCTTAGCCCATACAGAGTTTTTTAAAGCCAGATTTTTGGTTTGACTATTGTGCAAATATTACAAACATTGAGCAAAAAACTTTTTTCTAACTTTGCTGTTCAAGTAATGGAAAATTCAAGATTGGAGCCTATTGCATTACTAAAAGTCCCCTGGAAGAACTACAAAATAAAACTTCAACAGTATTTCTCCCTCCCTTTAAAGACATCTACATGATGAAGTAAAGATTTCTTTGAATGTTCTATTTAGTCTGAGAACTTTACTCTGAAAGGAAAGCAAAGAACTCTATCAGTGCAGTCTGACAGTACACTCAGGTCGACCCTTATCCCTTGACAAGGTCTAAACTTCTGTGAAAGAGCATCATGTAATGAACAATATATATTTTTTGTAGTTCTCAACTTCTGGCACATGTAAGCAAGCCTTTTACTTAACAAGAACAAAGACAAAAATCCTGTCACTTCAGTTGAAAATTTTGAAATCCAGGATCTTCAAGGCACATAACACCAATAGGCACACATAGGGATCCGATGGGGAAACCCCACTAGGTGAACGAGACTCTAACTCAAATGCACCTGTAACCTGAGGACTTAGACTGAAATAATATGGTGTGTGAAAAAGCAGAAGAGAGCTATACCAAGATATGGAAATGTTGGTAGGTGGACCAATGTTTACTTACTGTTTCAATGCCCTACTGGTTGTATTAAGATATTATTCTGGTAGACCTGTGACTGACATTGTCAATGAATATTACTATACGTTTTGCCTGACCAACTCCCAATGTTTGTGCAAATGGCATTCAGTCACATAAGGATTTACTCTGTGCAAATGAACAGTTCAAGTGGTGTGATATGTATTTAGCCTATACTTGCTCAATCTCCCTGAATAGGGTTTTTAGAATTACTAACATTAGCTAATCAATGATACTATAAACAGAAGATCCTTATGCTCCAGGATTCTCCACCATAAATTAACAAGGATGTCTCTAAGGTGAGTCAGAGGCAGATAAAAAACAGATTCAGGAATGGATTTGGGGCTCACACTTAATTCTAGTTCCATTCTAAGAACTTAGTTCTTATGACATGGCCTTGTTCTATACTCACCCGCAACATAGGGAACACAGAAGATATGGGTGCAATAGCAAAGTGTGAAGAAATTAGATGGTGTCCAGCTATCAGATAGAATAGTGTCTGGGGTCTAAAAGGCTTGTTTCCAAACAAGCAGTCATCTAAGTGAGATATCAACTCCTTCCACGTTAACTAAGTCTACATGGAAGAAGCACACCAAAGGATCAGAAATCATATAATCTGAAGCTGAAGGAGGGACAGTCTGAGAGCTTAAACTGTAAGATTCTGGTGTGCAGACGGGCTCTGCAAGACAGTGCAAGTCCAAAATACATTTGCAGGATCTACACCGGGACGAAGCCTCCAGCGATTTCCCTCTCACCATAATTGAGGGACGAGAGTAAACTGGTTATCAGACGAAGAGCATTGGAGGGATGACTACAGTAGATTAAAATGATAAATCAGACTTGAATGGTTAAAACCTTGTCATTTGATCTCCCCTCTGATACATTCTGTGCTTGATTTGGTTATTAATCTTTTTTTTTGTTTTTCATATTGGGGTTTTATTTTGTCATCATGGGTAGCCTTTTTGAATCTTCGTTATGTGTTTTTCGGTATATGAAACCCAGGATGGATGAACCTATAGAGACAACAACTAGAATCAGGGCTCCTGGGGGGTATGGTGGGTAAGGGTATTTGTGAGAGCTGACATTAAGGAGTTCAAGAAGGAAGAAAATGTTTTGAAACTGATTTTGGTAGAAATTGTACAATACTGCTTGATGCGACTGAACTATGGAATGGTATGATGTCTGTATTAGGTCCTTATAAAAATGGTTTGAAAAAAAAAGAAAATGTTATTTCAAAGCTTTGTACAAAATTCACTTAAGGTTATATTTTTATTATTTTAGCATATGGTCTTAGTAGCTTTACTATTAAACACTGCCAGTAAATTTTCATATGGTAAATAATATTAATTAAACCAACAACCAATACTTAAATTATGTCTTCAGAGCCTGTCTTTAGAAAAGTTTATGTTTTGCAGTGCAACAAAAAGGAGCCATGGTGGCACAGGGATTTAGCACTGGGCTGCTAACTGAAAGGTTGATGGCTTGGACTCACCAATCACTTAGCGTCTTGAAGGTCTGTCTGCTTTCAGAGTGACTTGGTGGCAGTGGGATCTGATTAGTTCAAGAGAGATTCAAAACCTTTTCAATGATTTAAAAGCTGCATACGATGCAAATGAAAGTGACTGTCACAAATTTGTTGCAAGTAGAGGTTGGTAAAGGGAAAGTACAAATTGTCTACAGCAGTGGTCGAATGACCCTTTCACAGGGGTCGCCCGATTCATAACAGTAGCAAAATGACAGTTATGAAGTAGCAACGAAAGTAATTTTATGGTTGGTGGGTCACCACAACATGAGGAACTATATTAAAGGGTCGCGGCATTAAGGTTGAGAACCACTGGTCCATAGGGTCAGACGTTTGTAATCCAAGGATTTAGTGTAACAAAACTGTTTAGTTAAAAAGAATATTGACAATAATTATTGTTGTATACAACTTACTGATTACACTAATGTTCTGTGGGCTGTAGATAGAATTTTTATGTTGAGGAATCAACAAAATTTTTTTGCCTCGAGGCCTTTGTATTAACTGTTCCCTCTAATTTCAGATATTTAAATGACACCCATTCTTAAGTCCTCAGACATACTTATGAATATACTTATATCCACATTTATATGTCTTAGTTGCCTAGATCTGGTTTCTTTTGTGTGTCGTTTTCCTTCCATTTATATTACTCTTCACTATATTACTCTTTATAACTACCTATGTTATTACTTGGTTAATATTTATAAGCTCTACAAAGGTAGGGACTATTTTTGCTGTTCTGTTTGGACCACTATATGCTCGCACTTATAATACTGCCTGGAACATACGAGGTGATCAATAAAGTGTACTGAATGAATTAATAAGCGAAGGTCAGAGAGTTCTGTGTGGTTTAAATTAAGAAGTGATAGCAGGCTTTTATTAATGGAACTTGACAAATTTAGATTTATATTTTGGAACCATAATCTTGGCTGCAGTACAAAGGTTGGATTTAAGAAGGGAGACACTAGAACAAAGAATCTGGTCACCTGGCTATGATAAGAAGTATAAACGAGGAAAAAATAAGAAGCTGAACTAAAGTAGTATTAGTAAAAAGAGAAAAATAAATCGTACAGCTATTCTAGAGCTATTCGGAAAGAATTTGATAACCAACTGAATGTAGATGAGTGAAGCAGAGAACAGACAAGTTTGCAAGAAGACCAATTTCAAAATTTTACATCATTTTCATTTTAGTACCTTTTTCATTTTCAATATTGGTCAATTATGTAATCCATCAAGAAGTATTTATGGCTATTTAACGCTGAGTGATATAAAGAAATGAGATACTTTGAGGAATTAAAAGATCTCAATAATGATCTATCAAAACCCTCCAAACCAAACCACTGCCATCGAGTTGATCCCAACTTAAAGTGACCCTATATAGGATTTCTGAGGCTTTGTAAATCTTTACAGAAGCAGAAAGCCTCATCTTTCTCCGGTGCTGTTGTTGGCGGGTTTGAACCACCAACCTTGAAGTTAGTAACCCAATGCTTTCGGAACATCACCACCCGGACTCCTTTAGGAATGAACAATTCATGCTGTAAAATGGACACCATGGCTGTGTCAGGTGCACCTCAAAGTGACATCCTTGCTCTTCAACACTTTATCGAGATCCTGTGCAGATTTTCATTGCTTCCATGAACAATGGTTGTGGATTCAAGCTAAATTAAATCTTTGACAACTTTAATTTTCCCCCCATTTATCATGTTTTCTATTGGGCGACTTGTAAGGGATACTGAAAGCAGCTGTTTTGATTTTCATCAGCAAGTGCTTTAAGTCTTTCCTGCTTTTTGCAAGCAAGGTTGTGGCATCTGCAAATGCCAGATTGTTAAAGAGTCTTTCTCCATTCCTGATGCTGAGTTCTTATTCATATTGGGTTATTTGCTTAGCACAGACGGAATAAAAATGCTTGGAAAGGACATAACCCTGGTGCACCCCTTTAGTGACTTAAACCAGAGTATCACCCACTTAGTTCTGGTCCTATAGCTGTCTCGTGGTCTATGTACAAAGCAAGGGTTCTAGAATTCTCTTTCTCACCAATGTTACCGGTACTTTGTTAGAATCCTTGCAGTTAAATACCTTTGCATAGTCAATAAAACACAAGCAAACATCTTTCTGCTATTCTCTGCTTACAGCCAAGGTCCAACTGATATCAGCAATGATTCCTCTTGCCATATCCTCTTCTGAACCAGACTTGAATTTCTGGTACTTTCCTGTCAAAGTGCTGCTACATCTTTTTTTTTGTTTTAAGGTAATGGCTCTTTATAACAACTGAGAGAGCAGGGGCGTATGCACTGATGAGGGCTAAACAAGCCATCAGTCTTGCACCTGCACCATCACCAGACTAATTTCTAAAAGGAGGCACTTCTGTTTGAATATGTACATTTCTAGAATATAATTACATCTGGAAAGTAGCAATGCTACTGGACTCTAGCCCTTTGTACTTAAGCCTCCACATGAAATCACAGTATTCCCAGGGGCTAGAGTAAGCAAGCAGCAGCATTTCCAATGTGAAGTCATTGAGTTTTTCAGTAGCTGGACACCAATTTACAGTCTTTCACATCAAAACCAAAACCATCTTTAATGTAGATATTGCCAATAAACGCTGTTAATGGTCCATTATTTAAGTAAAATCTACAAAAACACGTTCAGACATTCCACTCCATTATTCTCAAAAGCAAGAATAACCAGTTAACCTAGTAACAACTTATTTTGCAAATGGGAAATAGGAAGGAGGAGGAGGAAGAGAGGGAAAAATAACAGCAAAAACACAGCAAATGACGTTGAGGTGCCAGAGCCGGGGCCTCTTTGCAAAGGCCCCCAAGCTGACCGGGCTTCTCATAGTAACCTCGGCTTGCAGTTACTTTGGAAATTGAGCAACTGTCTCTCATCAGTGAACTATTTTTTACAAAAAAGATGACAGGTCCTTTTTGTTAACTGCTTTTTAAAAAGTAGAACTGGGTCAGAGCTGCCAACTGAACAATTCCTGGTCGGTGGGCTATTTAGTCATGCTGCGACACCAGGATGGGACTGGACATTCTTCTTTCTTCAGGCTGAGCTATGGAAGCATCCATCACAGAGGCTCTATACCGATTCAATCCGAACTAGCTTCCTTGAGTATTTTCCTCGGAAATATCTTGTGCTTAAGTGCAACTAATTGGTGAAATGACCTCTTTAGGGAACTTATCTTGCAGTTCTTCCATGACAAGCCGATCAATCATGTGCTCAGGGACTTTCTGAGAAGTGAATCCAAATTTGCTCTTTAGAATTTATCGACATAGCAAAGGGAATCTGCGAGCGTATCTTTTAGTTGTCTCCCCATTGACTGCTATCTATAAAGTAGGCCAAATGGGTCTTCAGTGACTCTTCAAGAAGATCTTTAAAATACTTCTTTTGCTCCCAGGGCAAAAAGCCCGGGCAGCTTTCTGTGTAACGCTGCAGCTTTCTTCGAGGCAGCACTTCAACGACACCCAGGTGATCTCCTGCAGGTAATCTTTTTTCCCTGCGCCTTTGCTCTCTTTGATCACAGGACTTTCCAGGGGACCACTCAAGAGAGGTGAGAGTCCCGTGTGACGTACCTCCTCTGCCTCTTACGTTTTGGGTCTGAGTTTCCGATCTGAAGTGCGCTTTGGTCTCCAAAGCAACTCTGTTTTAATTACTGGTATCTTCAGCAAAAGTTTACTTCCATGGGATATGGACATTGTCCCATAGTTTCTGCAGCCCATGGGATCACCTTTCTTTGGAATGGCACAAATATGTTCTCTTCTAGTTGGCTGGCCAAGTTGCTATCTTTCAAATTTCTTGGCATAGACAAGTTAGTGCTTCCAAAGGGTCATCAACTTGTTAAAAACATTTCAATTGGTTCAATTCCTGGAGCCTTGTTTTTGGTGAATGCTCTCAGTGCAACTTGGACTTTTCCCTTTTAATACCCCTGGTTCTTTCACTGTACCAAAAATAACCTCTGTGTATTCTTTCCATTCCTTTTGGATACTTCCTGTATCTATGAATAATATTTTATCCATAAAAATCCTTCAACAACCTCCAGAAGAATTTATTTCAAAGGACGGCACTGAATCTGCAGCTCCGGGAGAGGGACATGTCTGATCAGAGTGCGCGGGAGCAGATGAAGGGGGAGGATGAGAGAGCAGGGCACATGATGGCCCACCAGGCCTTGATGACGATGTTCCCGATTAGAGCAGCCAGTCCACAGAGAGGACCACATGGCCAGCCCCACTATAAGACAC